TGTCGTGTGCATTCAAACTACATGGCGGAAGTTGTCGCATCGATCGTTTACATGTGACCGAAATAATTCGCTTACGGTGAAACTAAGTTGAATTTTACTTGCATTTGATAACAATTCAACGAATTTATTTTTCGTGCGTTATTATAATTACTACTGAGTAATAATCAACAATTTCAACACTTCAAAAACAAGTAAGTTATTCACTTGTCTGCCGAAGCATGGCCGGATTGCATTACCGTACCCACGGTACCATACTTATTTAGTGCTTGTTTTTATTTGAAACTCCTGTCAGAATATACTTTCCGTTACGACGAAAATTAAAAAAGTAAATGCATATTACAATAAAAATACTGAGTATTTTTTTTCATGTGAACAGTTTTTTTGTGACGTGACGCTTATCACTCTTCCCTGACATCTAAATTGGAGTTACCCTTATATTCAAAAGATGTACGGTGTATTGTTTGTTTTGAGCAAGTGATGTGGGGGAAAAATGACCACACCCATTTAGTTATTGCAATATGTACGTAATAGAAACCGCACCCCGAACTTGAGCTGTTGATCCCAATTTTGTATTTGATACATTGTAATATAAACCGCGGTTTATAATAGGATTTTAACGGTAAGTGCCCACGAACCTGCATCTCGACATTAAGTTGCTCAGTGGACATGTTGGAGAATAGTAGTGCTCGTTCTAAGCAAGGTAAATTTAAACATTACTGTAAAAACTTTTTTTCAAAATCATTTAAACAATTAGTTTTAAAAAAACAATTATTTTGAAATCTTGAATGTTCAAAAATACTCAGTGATAATAAGAACATATGGATGGCATACAAGGTACATTTTAGTTATCGAAAAATTTACATAAATTTTCATTTTAAAATTATGTTTATTATGTACAGGTTTACATGGACAGGTAATTTGTACCTTTACCTGTTTCAGCCCCAGCTAAGTTTCACCTGTATGTCGCAGGTGGACTGGCCTCATTTCCGACACCTGCAATGCCTCAAATTCAGTAAAGTCACCGTGACTTCTGTCTCTGTCTCTTACTAGATATCACATGTTATATCATTATATTTATTAAGTAACTTTGTATGGTCAATATGATTTCCTGTTCTTATATATTGCTTACCTTGCTGTATATTTGTTATCAGAAGATGAATTCAAACCTGAAAGTGACGTTGACTCAGAATCAGATGTGAGCAGTGGTGTTGATGAAGACAAGATATCTGAACTTGACACGGAATCAGAGCCGGAAACTCCAGAGGCAAGGCAGTTATTGATTTTCTAACTTTGTGAAGAATGTAATGTATCCTGCCCTGTCTACATGATTTTATTATGCAATATTATTTTTTTTAGAAGTCTCTTAAGCGAAAACGTGGGTCTACAAGGACACCTTCTGCTAAGCCAAGGAAGGCAGAGTTTTCGACCCCAAATAGCAAATCAAATACTGAACAGATTTTCAAAACACCAACAACTGTTGCTGCTTCTACCAAAGCAAGGCTATCCATGTTCACAGCTCCTGAGGTAACACCATTATATTTTTACTCGGCATTCTAATGTTTCCACACTAGTCTCAAATTAATGTGATTGGCTGTAGGCTTCGTCATAACCACACTAGTCTCAAATTAATGTGATTGGCTGTAGGCTTCGTCATAACAGAGCTAAAGGTTATATTTACCACTGTAACACTTTCTGGTTCCAACCAAACCGCCATAGGAAGTTCACTGTGTGTAAGTAGATTCATCTGTCAATTGATGGACACATAGTACGGACATTTTTTAACTATTTGCAAATAGTGATATTTGTGGTTTGTGTTATATTTTGGGAAGATTAAACATATTTCCTCAATTTTGACTCTCGTGTGCGAAGCACAAAAAGGGAGTCTTTGCAGTTAGTGTGTCTGTCTGTGTGTCCGTGTGTCTGTTCCATCGATATCTCAAGAACCACTGTTCGGATTTCAATGAAACTTGGAATATAGCTTGTCTAGGGCAATGCTCAGAATTGATTAGTTTTTGGTTGACATCCATGCATATTAATGAGCTCATCTGCATAATAATATGCAAATTTTAAGCTATTTCAGTTGTATCTCAAGAAGCATTAAAACGATTTTTATGTAAATTGGTAAAAATGTTACTCATGATTGGCTGCTGCAATTCCTTGTTTTATTTTACATTTTAATTACAATTTAGCATTTTTTATGTATTTTTTTTTTATTGTTTTTTTTTTTTTTCTGCCCAATTGCATGAATACAATTAAAAGGAATCGGTGATTGGATTAATTTGCATAATGATGCGCATGCGTATTCTATTTTTTATGACCCGCAATTTATGATGGTGTCAGCCATTTTGTTATTTCCAGTGTGTTGTACAAAAACGAAGCAAACGCCCGGGAGATGACATGTATCAGTTTATATTATGAAAAGGTCTAAGAAATTACATGTATGATTTTTTTATCGTATAAATAAATAAATGAATAATTATGTAACCTCAATGACTGTGAAACGAATTACCGTGCAACCTAGTTTACATTCACGTGTGGTGTACAATTTCATTCAAGCCACGGTACTTTGAACCCTGTGTGGGCCCAGTCAAGAAAATAATGAATGTGAGATTCATCATCGTCAAAAACATGGCAGTGTTGAAGATGGTTGGTAGGTTCGATTTCATGGTAAAATGTTGTGTAAATTCGTTGTACTTGTGAATCCTGATTTATCACCATATTATTGAACGCGAGAACAAATATAGTGACCTCCAGCATCCATGTCATTGTTTCAAGTTGCTGCCGTAAGGAGATATTTTCTTTGTATCGCTTACCAACATTGTATTGTACTTCTTTCCATTATGAATTACATATATACACATTTGGAAACTTGCATGGTGCACTTTCACCCCCATCCTCCCCAAATTGCGACGCTATCAAGTCGATCAGTAGGTATACGATGTCTATGTGTGTAGATGATGACTACTGCGTTGTGTAAGGACTTCTTGTACGTAAAATGGGGCACATTCCCAGTAAAAATATCTATTTTCACGGAGCTGACAAAATTCGCCTACATGTGTAAATATGTGTTGGGATTTGGAGAAAAAAAACTCGTAAAACATACCGAAATTATCGTGACAGCTGTGATGAACTTTGGTGCCCGGCCGATTGTTGGTGGGCTGATCAGCATGTCGGATTATTTCTGAGAACGTTCTTCGTATGGGAAATCACAAAATCATTAGCACTAAGTAGGCTGGTTTACCTTATTTTTGTGTCATGCGATGATTACCAAAACAATTTGACAATCGGTGTCTCATTTGTTCACCGCCCCTCAACACGGTGATTTGTTATGACGGTGATTTGTTATGATGAGTAATTTTTCCCTTCCCTTTTCGTCGGAAATTATGAATTCATTGGCTCGAATATATCCTAGTTTACTTCAGTTGTTCCATCCTAGTATTCTGTACATTGTTTTTACCTAGCAAAGGAAACAATCGGTATCTGGCTTTGTTATATTTACACTATTGCAACACCTTAAGTGGGCCCCAGCATGGGTCTTGTGTTTCACTATTTTTTTCATTGAATATTACACGGCACTATATATCCCTCAAATCGGAAGGCACATTTATTACTCGAGTTACTGTTCCTATTAAGTTAAGCCATGGAGCAAAAAAGAAAATATGGTTAAGCTGAATACCATGCTTAATGTGGAATGTATAGACCGTGATGTCGGCATTAACTACTGGATGCACAGTGGAAACCACTGGGGCAACGCCACGCTGACCGGCGTCTCCTGTCTGGTAAAAAAACAAACATGCGGGACGGGCTGCAGAGTTTTAAGCCGTCGTAGATGTTTTTGAAACGAAAATTAGCGAATAGGTTTTGTTTCGAGCCACTTAAAATGTCCTATGTGTATTATAGTGTCAAATTATACGCAGTAACAAATGAGATGCGTTGGGGATTACATTGAATTTTATGTACCGAGAACTAAAATAAATAAATAAAATTGACACACACATTGATATTAAGATAGTGGTTTGAATTTTAGATATTTAGATTGTGATTGTTTGTCAGAAATTTATATAGTTGTTCTTGCTACTTTACGTTTTCCGTGTTAACTAAATTTCTAAAATATTTTTAAATGCCCTATAAGTTTATTTTGGGCATTTATTTGTTTACTATTTTTGTTGCATTTCATTTTCCCCAATGTTTTATGAATTATTTAAGTTTTCTTTTTAATGTTTCAATTTTGTGTAGACTTTTTATGCATATTTTTAAGTAGGCTTATTGTAGGTATACGATGTCTATGTGTGTAGATTACTACTGGTGGCTCCTTATTTAATAGATTATTCATAATTTGTTTATCATTTTCAAATATTCTCGAATAGTACATCATGATCCCTATTCCCTCCCCACACGGGAGTTCTTTCTAAGCTTTCTTTGATTTTTCATTTAAATTGAGGAGCACATGAGATGAGAATTTAGTTCTATTTTTGGCGTGAATGTTTTATCTTGTACAGTGTCATTTGTACTATTTTTTATTTTTCATGTCTCTTTCAGTCACCAGCTCCAGTCTCAGAAGACAGACAATCATTTCCACACCATTCATATGAATGGCTGAAAGAAGAAAATAGAAAGTAAGTTGAAACAGTTGCTGCATAACTCTGTATTTCTTTGTCAAACCTCTGTCTAATTTATGTTGTATTTGTCACTGAATTGGTTAATATCTAACTTATATTGCATCTTTACATCTGTAGAGATAAGAAGAAACGCTCCATGAGTGATGATAATTATGATCCCTCTACGATTTATGTACCTGAAAGTTTTCTTCAGTCCTGTACTCCAGTAAGTAAAGCTGTGACTGGTTTTATAATCTCAAAATACAGTGAAAGGCATAAATCTGGGACTTTGCTTATAAATGTGTTTATAAATACGTCAATTTCAAATATTTAACAATGATTGGTTCAAAAGCAGAACATTGTCTACTTCCAAAATGTGCATATATGCCTTCTAGTGACATAGTAAATGTGCATATATGCCTTCTAGTGACATAGTAAATGTGCATATATGCCTTCTAGTGACATAGTAAATGTGCATATATGCCTTCTAGTGACATAGTAAATGTGCATATATGCCTTCTAGTGACATAGTAAATGTGCATATATGCCTTCTAGTGACATAGTAAATGTGCATATATGCCTTCTAGTGACATAGTAAATGTGCATATATGCCTTCTAGTGGTAGTGACATAGTAAATGTGACCACCCACATATGTAAAATGAGGCGCTTGCTAATTGGATAATGTTGAATCTTGTTAATATTAATATTAATTAGAATTTGAATTCTAACATCTAATAATGTATATTTAGATAATGTTTATACTGACCACAGCTTTATGCTCTTCACTGTACAAAACATTACTATAAGACAGTGTTTTTTCATCATCATGCTCACTACTTGAATTTTAAATAAGATTGATATAAACACAATGCTATGACTGAGGTTATATAATTCTACTGATATTGAAGAATGATGGTCATCATACAGTGTATGTTCAAATTTTGTGTGAAAAATATATTCAACATTTATTGTATATGTTGCTATGGAAACCATATCAAACACAAACAGCACAGCTTCCGATACTACCACACATCAACAGAGCCAGTTATGTAAAAGTGATTACCAAACTCTATTTCTTTCTTTGTTTTTCAGTCGTACTGTTCTTTTACCACATTGTACTTATGTTAAAGTACAATTTTAAAACTGATCCTACAAATGTTTGTTGAAATAGGTATTACCCCGTAATAAAAATCAAGTATTTGACAGTGTCAATAAAATCATTACTTGTTGAGTAAAGGTTGCATGATCGTTACCCAATTCTCAATGTTTTACGAGTAAAATTCTGCTGAGGTTGCTTACTTTGAACTTTAGCACATCAGCTCAAGTTTTGTACCGCAGAATGATTGCGGCAAAATCATAAATGATCTTCAACAAAACATCAATACGTATTATGTGTCTACGTATTACTTGCCATATTTAAACCATTTGATATTATCTAAAAACATCTCATCTTATCACAACTATTAAATTGAGGTAACATAAACCAGAAATTGATTATTGTAAACCATTTCACTGCTAAATATTTTCATAATTTCAGAATTTGACAGTATTTGTGAAGACAAAATGTTGTGACAGACAATGCTCCAAAATTGTATCATTTTTAGTGACTCAAAAAGTTTGTTTAAATCTGTCTCTATATACACTGTTCATTGTAGGTATACAATCGTGAATTGGTTCACTGCATGAATGTTATTAATAATATGTTTAGTTAGGAATAATACAATATTTGTGATCTGTATTGTAAGTAAGTTATGTTTGTTTTATTTGCAGGCTTCCAGGCAGTGGTGGGAAGTAAAATCCAATAATTTCAATTCTGTATTATTTTTTAAGGTGTGTATATTGTCTTGTAGTTATAGTTTTGTTATTTATTAAAGCGAGGGAGTCATCAGATGGCTATAGTGTGTCATTGTTTACAAACAAGCGTCTACCCATGAGCCTTTGCATTTGTTAGCGCATGTCATCACTTGGGACTCAATTCCCATGCATGCACAGATGACGACTTCCAGTTTTAATTTTTATCTCATTTGTTTGCGTGTGTAGAACATTATTTCTCCTTTTCTTAGACCATTTCAAAAGGTGATTTTTCGCTCACTGCGAGACCTCGCGTATTGTGAGGAAGGTTCACCTGTACGTCTGCCGCACAGATCAATGTTGATCTTTAAGTGGGGAATATTGCGCTAAGATATGCTTACTTCATGACAATCATCGAATGTGTATATATAGTACATTAATAAGCATGAAAATATCCCAAAAATATTTTCACGTTTATCAAGTCCCATGTGTTTTGAAGTCACTACAATGCTATGACCTTTGTTTGTCTTGTTTTTTAGTCCCCGTTCGGACATAGTCCGAAAACGGGGACTTATGTTTTACCCTGTGTGCGTCCGTGCGTGCGCCCGTGCGTCCGTGATCACCAGTATCTCGAACATGCATGGACCGATTAAGTTCAAACTTCACTCATACATCACACATTATATGGGACATATGCACATGCATTTTTTTTCATGATCCGATTAACGATAGCCGAATAGCGGCCATTTTAAGGCCGAAAATGCATCAAAATCGCACATTTTCACCATTCCGGACTCGGATCTCAGTTATGCATGGACGGATTTTGTTCAAATTTGGTACAATGTACATACATTAAACATAATAGGACCTTGATGCACGTCATTTTTTTTTTTTGGATCGGGTTTGAAATTGCCGACTGGCGGCCATTTTGTTTTAAAGAATTCAGTTCTGGATCCGTATCCGAGACATGTCTGGATTGATCAAGTTCAAACTTCACACACACAAGGTACATCATGTCAAAAATATGTATGTGCATTTGTTTCATGATCTCATTAACGATAGCCAAATGGCGGCCGCTTTAAGACCGAAAATGCATTGAAATCACACTTTTTCACCATTCCGGACCCAGATCTCAGTTATGCATGGACAGATTTTGTTCAAATTTGGTACATACATTAAACATAATAGGACCTTGATGCACGTCAATTTTTTTTTTTTCGAATCAAGTTCGAAATGGCCGACTGGCGGCCATTTTATTTTAAAGAATTCAGTTCTGGATCCGTATCCGAGACATGTCTGGATTGATCAAGTTCAAACTTCACACACACATGGTACATTATGTCACAAATAGATATGTGCATTTGTTTCATGATCCGCTTAACAATAGCTGAATGATGGCCATTTTAAGGCCGAAAATGCATCAAAATCACGTATTTTCACAATTCCGGAACCGGATCTCAGTCATGCATGGATGGATTTTGTTCAGATTTAGTACAATGTGTTGTACATATGCAGGTGCATTTCGGTCATGATCTGCTTTGAATGTATATGTCACTCAAATATGAACGGAACGGGGACGTGTCATTGACAATGACTTGTTATGTTCAATTTGACACATAACATGGGATATCGCAGTGAACAGAAAATGATTTATTAAATTCAAATCTGTTTTTGAATCTTCAGCTTGTTTTGACTGATTTTCACAAATACAAACAAAAAAAATGATCACAATATAAATTTGCATCAAAGTTTGTGTGACAAATGGTTTTCCAACTTGTTCAGCAACATTATCGGTGTAAAATTATTACAAGAATACCTTAAAATATTAGACATGGTACACTGAGTTTGTAAGATTTAACTTGATTGAATTCAGTGTCAAAAAATTTTGATTACTGCATACATGTGTGCCAGAAATGATCTGTCATTAGACTTAATTTCCTTCTTGAGCTGTGACATTAATATGGTCTCTGATGAAATGAAACATTTGTTAGTGATATTCCTGAATTGTTTTGGTAATATTTGTTTTATTTCTAATATTATGTATTCTTTTTTCTGCTAGATGGGAAAATTTTATGAACTTTATCACATGGATGCTGAAATTTCAGTCAAAGAACTTGGTCTTATCTTTATGAAGGTACAACAATGGTTTCCTATACCTGCAAAAACATGGTTTCCTCCAAGAGCCTCTTTTTGAGTTCACCTGAATAGCCTCTCCTACAGAAAACTGTGAGGGCGCAATACTCATGAAAAGCATCTATCATTGATAAATAAGCATACTTATATATAGTTATTTGATCATAATTTTCAGGGCCAGGTTGCTCATTGTGGTTTCCCAGAGATTGCGTTTGGTCGCTATGCCGACACTCTAATTCAGAGAGGTTACAGAGTCGCTAGAATTGAACAGACCGAGACTCCAGATATGATGCAAGAAAGGTGTCGTAAATGTACGTATATAATGGTTTAGTTTTTCTCTGTTGTCATTATAAAGGACAAAGTGGAACTGTTCTTATGGTTGATTGTCCATCGTTCATCAACAATTACTTTTTCAACTTCTTGAAAAATACCAACTCAATTGCTTTGAACTGTTATATGTAGATACCTTTGGTGGACCTCCATCAAATTTGTTTATTTCATGATGATATCATTATTTTTAGCATATATTTTTGGTAAATTATATTTTCGACTTCTTCTCAAAAACTACCAGCCTGATTACTTGACTTGGCTATCAAATTGTTGTTGTAGGATAGTGGAGCTATTTGACCATCATGTCACTTGTGGCTATCATTCAGACATCGGTATAATTACTGGGCCCTCACTGGATTTGTTTGAGTGTTAGTAGAACAGAAAACAAGAACAAGCAAACATTTTCTATATATTGTAATTTTTACAAATTCATGTTGAGATAGATGACAGAATAGAGAATCACGTAGATTGCATAATTTTCGGTGCTAGAAATTTATGATTAGATTTTTATGGCATTTACTATTATGGCCATAAAAAAAGTCACAGACACTTCATGTTGTAGAAATTTTCACTGCTGAGATATTTCACTGTTTTTACTGATTCACGATTTTCGCAAATGGAATTGTCTCTTGCAAATTAAATCGATTTACAGTTTGTGACTTTGTTTCAAATATCCTTTTGAGTAGAAGTCACTTGATTGTATTGAACTGAAATTTACAGTGACACTGTCACTATCTTTTTTTCAAGTGATCAAGCCTACTAAGTTTGACAAAGTTGTGAGAAGAGAATTATGTCGCATTTCCAGCAAAGGTACGTATGCAATGTAATAATTAAAGATTTAGGTTGTATAAATATTTTTGTTTCAGCTGACAGTTTTGTACCATCACTTTGATATCTATGAATGCAGCTTTTTCTCCAACTGGAATTTTTTAGAATATAATTAAAATGTTTGCTACATGTACTAAATATAAACAACATGGTTGACTCTGTCCCACATTAGTGTTGGAATTCAAAGTGACGCCTTTGTGAGAATTGTTCTTCAGTTCTTGAATTCACTGACATCACATACACATTATGACTGTAAATGATAAACATAACTCATCATGATCATAACTTATCACAAAAGCCTTGAACTCTGATCAAGTCAAACACCTACACAAAGCTAATGTCTTATAAAATGCGATGTCAAGCAGTTGCCATTTTATTCATACATGTACATGTACTTACTATTATGGGAAATGACACAGAAAATCATCAGTGAGAGACTGCAAGAGAAGGGCTTTGCCTCTCAAGATGGACTCTCAGCAATGGCCATTACAAAATGACACTGATGACACAAGAAAAATTAAATTATTAAAAATAAAAATTGGAAAAACAAGATAGCTAAAGCTATTGTATATAATACATTAATCCTTCCTCATCTAACATACTGTATTGAAATTTGGTGAAACACTTATCCAACTTTACTTGAGCCAATGTTTTGTCTACAAAAATAGATAGTTTGACTTATCACTTTTTCCGACTTTCATGCTCACTCTGCTCCCCTTTTTCGCCAGCTTGGAATTCTCGATATTCACAAACTCTGCAAACTTCAAACATGTTTATTTATTTTTGACCTCAAACATGACCGTTTTGTCCGTAGTCTTACATATTATGCAAGCAATCCGTCACATAGCTACCCTACTAAAGCAACAACTGAAGGAAACCTGTCAATTCCTAAATTACATTTGTCCATTTCCCAGCATAATTTTCAATATGCAGCTGTTACACATTGGAACTCCCTCACAGTCAGGGCTGTGGACTAGACTAGTTCAGTAGAACTATTTTCACAGTCTTCATCAGATTTTTTTTTTATCTATTTAACTACTTGTATTTTCATTTTTTTTCTGATGAAATAAACATATATATATTGTAAGTTGCTTTAAGAAATATTGTGACTTTTGTTCACCAGAGTTGTTTATAGCTGATGGAAAATGAAAACTATTTGTATCTAATAAATAAGTAATTTGATGATACAACTAAAAATAATTAGTTATAATTTTATTAAAATAATTTTTTTCCAAGTAACGCGTGTATTTTGCCATATAATGTAAAACATTATTTTTCTAGGTACAAAGACTTACAGTTTTATTGATGGTGATACATGTAATGCTGAAAGCAGTTATTTGTTATCTGTGACTGAGAAACCATGTGATGGTCTGAATGGTGGTGAAAGTCTCTATGGAGTCTGCTTTGTTGATACCTCCATTGGAAAGTTTCATGTGAGTCATGTTCGGTGGTTATTCATTGTCATGGAGACAGTTGCCTTGGTGCCCAATGAGTTTGCCTTGGTTCCATTCCATATATATTGTCCAAGTCATCATGAAGAAACAAGTAGCTGCAGATATATGCAAATAGTAGTACTTATACTCTATCAATGTTTGTTTATCTATGGTCAATTTCGCTATTGTGCTTTTTGGAATATTCTGACTGTTGAAAACACTGAATTTTAGTTTTAATCATGCACTTACCTATAAATTGCACAGGGCATTTAACGCTCTTGGCTAGACATTTGCTTCTTAGTTTTCCTGTGTCTTCCCTTATTTTCTAGCTATGACCAAATAACTGCAGACATGCTGCTGCAATGGATTGTGGGTAGCAAGTCGTTACTTCACTATTTTGATGTTTTGAGCATATTTACTGTTTTAATTTTACAAGTTTTACGAGGAAACAATGAGTTTTATTGTTATTTTACATGGATTTAATTTAGCAGATTTTTTCTTTTCAGATTGGACAATTTCAAGATGATAGACATTGTTCTAGACTGCGTACACTGATAGCACACTATACTCCAGTTCATGTGAGTTTATATCTTATACTATACTATACTATACTATACTATACTATACTATACTATACTATACTATACTTGTACTACATACTTGTACACAACTTTAATTTCAAAAGATGTTCTGTGGTAAACGTAGTTATTTTTACTGCAGCTCTCAAGAGTGACAGTGACATTTACAGGGGTCTTAGGGAGTCACAGTGTGTCACTGGGGATCTTAGGGAGTCACAGTGTGTCACTGGGGTTCTTAGGGAGTCACAGTGTGTCACTGGGGGTCTTAGGGAGTCACAGTGTGTCACTGGGGGTCTTAGGGATTCACAGTGACTTTTACTGGGATCCTGGGGAGTAACTGTCTTTCACAAGGGGGTCTTAGAGATTCACTGGGGGTCTTAGGGAGTCACAGTGTGTCACTGGGGGTCTTAGGGAGTCACAGTGTGTCACTGGGGATCTTAGGGATTCACAGTGACTTTTACTGGGATCCTGGGGAGTAACTGACTTTCACAAGGGGGTCTTAGAGATTCACTGGGGGGTCTTAGGGATTCACAGTGACTTCCACTAGGATTCTGGGAACAGTGACTTTCAATGGGGCCCTAGGGAGTCAGTCCTTTTAAATTATAAAAATTTTAAAATTGTAAGCTTTGAAAGATTATTGGTTAACAAAAAGTGTAATTTCGTATTTTGTGGATTTTAATTGATATATTTTGTACTATATTTATTGTAAAATCTGTTTGCTCCATGTGTTGATTTGGGTCATGTGACAGTCTTCCTGTCTTCATGATATCATATTCTTGTTGCCTCATTCTTAAATCTTGCTTGATGAGTTATCTTTTCTTTATTCTATTTTATTCTGTTTATGAAAAAAATATCCAAATTATTCAAACTTATTGTAATTTAATTATTGGATGTTTTTATGTAGGTGTTGTATGAAAAAGGAAAATTACTTGCTAAAACCCAGCAGATTCTGAGCCAGAACCTTATCTCTGCATTAAAAGATGCTTTACATCCAGGTTCTGAATTCTGGGATAGCGGGAAAACATTAAAATTCTTGGCTGAAAAAAAGTATTTTGAAAAAGAAAACAAGAAGGAAGATGTTGAGGAAGAAGATGATGATGTGAACGGAAAAGATTATTGGCCTGTTGGGATTCGCCAAATGTTGTCTGAAAGTAAGTGTATTATTTATAATGACCTAGTGTGTGGTGGATGCTATTATGCTATTTTTATTTTATTTCTGTCATGTGGTAGTAACTGATATGAAAATTACAAGTTGCATCTAGCATTGGGTAATTCCATCAAAGTATGTCTGATTTTGAAATTTACATGGTTTTCACTTTGTGTAACAAAATGAGTGGTTTTCCCGGGGGGGGGGGGATTTCAACCCAGTGTTAGATTACTTTAGTCAGAGTGATGGCTGATCCTAAGTTCTGTGTTGAATAGTAAGGTGAGACATGCAGGAAGGTCTCATGGTTAAAACAAATCTCTCTATTTTAACATTTATCCATTCAGTGCAAGTGAAAGTTTTGAAAAGGTGTGAAAGCTTAACCTTTTTTCACTACCAGACTTTCTCACCCTAATTTTTCACTACCAGACTTTCTCACCCTAATTTTTCACTACCAGACTTTCTCACCCTAATTTTTCACTACCAGACTTTCTCACCCTAATTTTTCACTACCAGACTTTCTCACCCTAATTTTTCACTACCAGACTTTCTCACCCTAATTTTTCACTACCAGACTTTCTCACCCTAATTTTTCACTACCAGACTTTCTCACCCTAATTTTTCACTACCAGACTTTCTCACCCTAATTTTTCACTACCAGACTTTCTCACCCTAATTTTTCACTACCAGACTTTCTCACCCTAATTTTTCACTACCAGACTTTCTCACCCTAATTTTTCACTACCAGACTTTCTCACCCTAATTTTTCACTACCAGACTTTCTCACCCTAATTTTTCACTACCAGACTTTCTCACCCTAATTTTTCACTACCAGACTTTCTCACCCTAATTTTTCACTACCAGACTTTCTCACCCTAATTTTTCACTACCAGACTTTCTCACCCTAATTTTTCACTACCAGACTTTCTCACCCTAATTTT